GCCAGACGTGCCGGAGAAGTACGACGGCAAGTCGCACCCGTCAGAGTTCCTCAGCATCTACACCATTGCGGTGCAAGCTGCCGGGGGGCGAGACGACAAGGTCCTTGCCAACTACTTCCCGCTCGTGCTCAAGCCCGAAGTCAGATCCTGGCTCATGCACTTGCCAGACAACTCCATATCCTCTTGGGCGGACTTGTGCCATCAGTTTGTCGGCGCCTTTACAGGCGGCCACAAGCCACATGGCCAGGAAAGTGACTTTCACCTGCTTGCCCAGAAGGAAGGAGAGCACCTGCGCAAGTATATTCAGAGGTTCAGCCGTGTGCAGCGCAACATCCCAGACATCCAGCCTGCCGCGGTTATCAGCGCGTTCCATCAGAACGTGCGTAACATCACACTTTTTCTTAGTTCTTCCTTCCTGCCAGCACACAAACAGGGTGCAATCACAAAGCCCAACCTCATGTAGCTTGTCAACACACATATAAAGCCTCCTAGACTGGTAGTCACAACAAAGGCCTCGAGCGCACGGTACCACGCGAGGGAAAAAAGACCACCACACCATGCCCGCGCGTGGGGTTGCAGCGCACCACGCGAGCAGAAAAAACACCGCACCGTGCGAGGTAGAAAACGGCATCGCGCCCCTCGCTCCTCCCTCCCTCGTCCGCCCCGAGCCACGCGCACACCCAATCCCCTCCCCTCCAACCCTAGCCGCCCTACTCCCCTCCCTTTCCACGGCGCCACCGCCTTCTCCCCTTCTGCCCTGCTCTCCACCGTGCCGCCTCTTCCTCCTCTTCACTGCCCTCTCCAGCGGTGGCAAAGAACGGCGGCGCTCGATCCGATCTGCTGAAGAGAAAAGATGAGAGAGGGAGAGAGACAAGGAAGGAGAGGAGGGAGAAAGATAGAGGAAAGAGGAGAGCGAGGTGTGACGGCGGATGAGAGAGGGTGACCGGAAGGAGCGTGACGACCTGCAGACAAAGGGCGGTGGCGGCGCCGCTCGATTTGATCTGCGGGATAGAGAAGATGAGAGGGAGAGAGAGAAGGAAGAACATGAGAGGAGGGAGAAAGAGAGAGGAAAGAGGAGAGGGGGTCGATGGCCGACAGGAGAGGACCACCAGAAGGAGTGCCGCCGGCTCGTCGTCTTCCACACCGCACTATAGCAGAGCGAGCCTGGGTGCAGAGCGAGCCGGCCGTCGGAGTCAAGGAAGACGACGGGCCTGCCCGCCACGCCGCTGGTCTTCTCGCCGGCCACAGACTCCATCTCGAGCAGCTGGTGGACAATGGAGGTGCGCAAGATCACCTCTATCGCATTCGCGTCCCGTGTCGACCGCCTCGAGGCGGAGGCCGTGGGGCTCCGCGCGCAGCTCGCTCCGGGCGCCTGAGGGGGAGCCGGACAGGGCCGACGACAACCCTGCCACCGCCGTCGCGAAGGGAGGGGACCGGACCAGGGACTCCTTGGCGGCCCCGGGGCTCCCATGCTGCGACGAGGGCCTCCGCTTCTTGGCCGCGAAGAATTGGGGAGGGGCGGATCCGGTAGGGGCTTAGGGCTTGGAGGCAGGAGGGCGACGGCGGCGGCGGAACGAGGGTCGCGGGGGCTAGGTCGCGGGTCGAGGGGGAGAGAGAGGTGAGGCAGGAGGGCGGCGCGAGTGCGGGAGGAGCAGTGGCTAGGTCTTCTCCACAGGAGCGGCTCCCTTTTATACTCCGGTGTGTGAAATGACGAAAATGCCCCCAGCAGGGCACCGAATTAACAGGCGGTGGCGTAGCGATTTAAAGGCGACGTGGAGGGCGGGGTCGTGACTACAAGTCTAGGAGGGTTTATATGTTCAATTTGTTCAGTTCATTGGAAATGGAAATACCGCCTGAAACTTTTATGCATGTGCTACCTTCGATCTTCAATTCCTCAATATATCTTGTTAAGCTTACCTGCAATGTCCACTCGTACTGTTCTCTGACCTGTCAAACAAGAAGAGATGGTGCAGCTAGCTGCTGAAAAGGAGATGACCATGGTCCTCTTGAAGACGAAGACGTGGTTTCTCCACTCGCATGCACAACGAGTTCCGCAAGTGGCCAATGCTGTCAAGAACCAGGTCACTTGGCAACTAATACATGCCTGACTCACCAAACCAGCTCTTGCAAGACTTTCAATTTACCGCAACCTCCAAGTTGCCAAATACGGTGTCAAGAAAAAGAACATCTAGACAAATAGCGCTGAGAGGCAATGAGCTGGTTTTGTGCATGAGTTGGTTTATGTTTCCATCCTTCTAGATTTCTTCTAAGAGATTGGAGTTGAATATAATGAATGATGCGCTCAGCAGACTGGCGCAAGTTTTGCCAGTAGGTTCAACATTTGTACCCCATGACTATGTTTCCAGAACTGATTGGGACATTCTCCCTTTTCTTTAGAGATGAAGGGACCATTTGTACTCTCTCCGTGCCATGCCTGCGTGCATGATTATTCAGTATACTCATGTTCATTTTTGTTATGTTTCTGAACATGTATATCATTTGTGTGTGTGAACCGGTGGTGTCCTTTAAAAATACATATTGTTGTGCGTCGATTTCTTCATGGTCATGCCTTCTTCTATTAAAAAAAATCATAATATCAATGTAAAATTTATATTCACATGACATGTTAATTAATCACAATCAGATATGTCTATACCACTTGTCAATCATTGTTGGCAAGGATTCGAAAGGGATTTGGTTAAGAGAATCGTGACATACTTTGAAATTTTCCCTTGAAAATTGTCGGTTTACTCATGATTGATGACAAATATGTTCACTCAGCTTTTAGACCAAGTAATGTTTTTTGTATCACACGATAATACGTGCATTGCACGCACACACTTACTAGTATGATTGCTAGTATAAATCAGTTGACAACTAGCAGGCGGAGGCACGGCAACACGCCGCGTCCGTCGGGAAGCCCGAAATTCTCTTTGTTATTTTCTTTTATGGAAGAGGAAAATTTAAAATTTAAATAGTTTGCTCGGAATACAGTTGACCGTGTGGAATTTTTTGATCAAAACTCTTCATTTCAATGCGAACTGGTAACCTTAATTGCTCGGAGGAAGTTCTTAAAATTTAAATAGTTTGCTCCTCTATGTATCGAGGAACTCCTGCCTCGTGATTGTAACCCTATTACCATGGAATAAAAAAAATACCCCTTTACCTGAAAAAAGAAACGTAAGGAGCCCCACTCGTTTCACTAACAGGTTGGCCCCACATCAATTCCTGCCGCGTCACCCACTCGTTCCCGCCTTGGCGCCCTTCTGCGTTGCATCTTCAGAGCATGCTTGGATCCAAGGGACTATTTTTAGTCTGACTAAAAATAGTCTTTTTTAGAGGCTAAAGTTTCAAGCACTCCTGACTAAAGAGAGGCTACGATTAGTCTTGAGGCTAAAAAAATTTAGTCATAGGAAGCCTACTAAAATATGTATTAGCCCTCTCTCTCTCTCCTCATTTAATTCCTCTTCTTTAACACATGCGAGTTCTGGATTGGAGGGTTTGGAGGATAATAAATGCTCAATAACTTGATTTTAGTCTCTTTAGTATTTGGATCCAAGCATGGGTTAGGCTAGCAAGTTTTAATTCCATTACTTTTAGTCATGGGACTAAAACGTATCCAAGCACCCTCTCAGTTTCGTCAGTTCCAGGCTGAGTTGCATCCCTTGCTTCAGTATAGGAGTGTGACAGTATGTTCTCTAGGGTTTGCTCCCTTGAGCCGAGCGGGTGCCGACCGTTGGATAACTGAATCTCTCCACAGTCGCACTTCTTCACTAGGGGAACTATCTGGTGCACAAAGACAATTGGTGCTACCGGTGCACCGGACCCTGTTGCACATTCAAAAATATTCAAAAAAATCCGCAAAAAATTTAGTGTATCGACACAACATCAATGTATGTTGTCGCAAAAATATAAATCAAAATTCAAAACAATGCTCAAGATACAAAAATGACAAATTTGACCTCAATGTGCTAATGGGCCAAAAATGAAGCCCAACTTGTGTTATGTACTATTCAGTGTCAAATTTGTTATTTTTGTATCTCGAGCAATGTTTCAAATATTGATGTTGTGCCAATGCACTGGAATCTTTTTCGGATTTTTTTGAACATTTTTTAATGTGCAACGGGCGACCGGTGCACCGGTAGCACAAATTGCCCCGGTGCACCAGATACATTCCCTCTTCACTAGAGCCAAATTAACGAGTACTGGTAGCATTGTACTATGTCAGCTACCTTACTTTCATTCTAAAAATAAATCTACTTTAATTTCATTAATTAATGAACATATTTATTTGTGGTAGTATGATCTGCTTGATTGCTAATCAACACCAAAAAAAAGTTAACAAACTGATTTTTTTTTTTTGAGCGATAGTAAACAGAACTGATGGGTACTCTGAATTCTGATATATATTATATATCCTACGGCCAAACTATTGCTACCCTTTTAGCAACAGAATCTACTACTGGAGTAGCCTCTTGGGCTAATAAATCTATAAAGCGCTCAAGCCAAGTTCATCAGAGTATATATCATGCTACTTCACCTGTGAACTCAAGAACTCCAAAAAGCTGAGATCAGAGTATATATCAGGCTACTAAGGCAAGACTGCATGCTGGCTGGCATCGGGCAAGAACTGCTAACAACAACAACAACATAATGATTTGGTAAGAAACTTTTTCCAGCTGAGACCAGCATAATGCATAGCAAAAAAACATAACGCATATCAAATTCATTCATGCTGACAACAACAACCACAACAACAACATAATGCATAGGAGCTGGACGAACCAGAGAGGCTATACAGCTATGCCGACAATTGACTACTAAAACGTAAAATAAGGCAAACACTATCAAATTCGATCTGTTGTGTCCACCCACATCCCACAAAAAACTTGTCTTGGCACACTAAGCATTCCCCAAAAAAGGTTTTTTAGCTGCTGCCAGGTCCTTACCACAACACAAAGTCAAGCTGCCAGTGGTCTTGTACAAAGCTACTGTACAAACTAACTTACAGGAATCCTTTCTGCTTTGTAGTAGTACTGGAGGTCGAAAGGGTCAGCAAACCCAAAATCAGCAGCTATCTGGTGGCAGTAAGCTGGACCTCCCCCGCCAGTGAACGGGCTCTTGAAGAGCTGCGGTTTGCAAGATTTGTTGTTCCACTTTGCGCTGGTCAGAGGCTTCAGCTTGGCATTCATACCATCATTCCCCGGAGAGAAACATTCCTCGGCCACCACGACCACCACCTGCTCCAGCACCCGCCCTCGCTCCGCGATGAACTTGAGGAAAGCAACCTCGCTTCTCGACCCTCGGAACTCGTAGAAGAACACCTTCTTCATGCTCTGCACCACGCATTTGATGGGACCACCCTCCTGCCAGAACTTGAGATTGACCTTGCCAGTGTGCTCTTCAGATAAGATGGGGGACTGCAAATGAAATCAATCAGTCCATACATAATTCGATGTTAGATATATAATATATGAGCACATAACTACATATTCACAGCTTACACATATAGCAGCAGCAGGCTATCAATCATAAAACTAATCTTATTCACAACTCTGACCATGCTCGATATACAATCAATTATGACCATGCTAGATATACCATAGCCACTACTATTGCAAAATCGCCAATGCAGGACGTGTATCTAGTTAAGTTAACCAATTTTACATGGACATGGAGCGTCTCCAGGTTGGGGAAGCATCTAAGAAAGTCAGGCACTTTCTTCACAGCGCTGCGGACACCGAACTGCACCACCATGGCCAAAATCTGGACACTAGGGGCAGTGTTCTCCTTGTTCCCAGCCTGCAATGCACCCAAGGATAGATAAATTAATTGGCATTATCAATTCACACAGGTACAAATATGCAAATCAAATTAGGATCTGCTGTGAGCTGCATACCACTATGACGGTGTTGCTAATCCCCAATTCCTGCCCTCCGGGCTGAAGGTATCCCAGCACACGCAGGTTAGGTGCATGGCCAATCTTGATCCTGGAAGCGCCGTTCTTGATCCTAGGCTGAGTGGTACAGGG